AGAAATGCTTCCAGTTTGCTCAGCTGTAAAATGGGGAAGATGAGCTGCTAAAAGAGATCAAAGGTTACTTTACAGTCTTCAATTTATGTAAGCCTTCAATATCTTGACTAAATTACTCTTCCCAATGCTAGTAATTTGTGAATGCTGTCAGTGATTGCAATAACCATACACATAGCAAATCACAGCATGTCACAGAGACAGAATGAAGGGTTTATTATGGGTGGGCTTCTTCCTACCTCCAATTTTTTTCTCATCTCCTTTGTTTTAAGGCACCTCATTTCACATTCCCCAAACTAAACTCTTTATTCCAATTCTGCAAAAATAAGGCAAATGAAGGGGTAGAAGGACAAATCTTAGGTATAAGATTTGATCTACAGACAAAAAACACTGGAGATGGGTTAATACGAGCAACAGCTCTGGCTTCCTAGTTGTAGAGTGATGTCTTCAGGGACTTGCAAAAGGCCACCTTGATCAGGACCAATCTGATTTCTGGAGGAATGATGTTATCTGGGTGCCATGACAGAAAAGGGTCTCTTCCTGGTCCTGCCAGATGACTCTTCAATGGATAGGGATGTAGTACGTTTCTCATGCTGGATCTGATGAGATGGGTGGATATAATTGGGGCAAGGCAATCTCACAAATGATCCTGCCTAAGGCCATAAAGGATTTTGTAGATGACCACCAGCTCTTTGAATTGAATCTGGAAGCATAATCTTGTGGATCATAGGTGTAACCTGTACATTTAAAAAAGTGCCCATAACTGCCCACAGCACGGCATTTTGCACTAGTCTCAGTTTCTGGATGCTCTTGAAGGACTGCTTCATGTAGTAACCAAGGCTTGAATGACAGTAAGGAGAACCTCTAAGCCAGAAAAAATGTGATTGGTGCAGAAGCCAAAGCTGTGCATGCATAAGAACAAACTATCCTAGACAACTCATAGGCTTAATGTCCCCCGTCCCCCAGCTCTTTATAGATGACCTTTCCTATTTATTTTCCCACTGCTTTTTTCCATTTGATTATACTTGACGATTTATAAATTTGTAATGATCCTTCTGCCACAGACTCCCCAGGCTTGCTGGGAACCTGCTTGCTGAGGGCACCCAGCCAATTGGGTAGACAATCATAACCAACAAGCCTGCATCCCTTCAGAATTACATCAAACAGGGGATCGGGATATCATTTCTCCCCAGTCAGTAACAGTGATCATAGTTGTCTCCTTTTTAATGTGCAGTAGTTTTTGTGGTGATGAATGCTTTTTCTATTAGTTATCTAGCAAAATATTCCTTTAAAAAAAACGAATAAATGAAAATTATATAAATGAATACTATAGTATTGGGAGGGTACAGTGTTAAGACAGAAAAACAGAAGAAAAGGATTTAGCAGATGACTGCAAAATGAGTAAACAGTGTGGCCAGGCAACTGTGAAGACAAACAAAATTTTGGGATTATCACAAGAAGGATCACCAGCAGGAAAGAGGAGGATCCTAATCCCATTATATAGGGTTTAGTCAGACCCCATTTGGAATACAGTTCTGGAGACCTCACTTAAAAAAAATATTGATAAAATTGAGTAAGTCTGAAACCCAGCAACAAAAATGTTGCTCATCTCCGTACCCTGTTGCAAGGTCTACGGGACAAAAACATATCAGGAGAGATTACAGGAACTGAACATGTACAGCAGGGCTGTCAAACTTGTGGCCTGCAGGCCGGATGCCTCATGCAATGGCCACACCCATGCCCAGTTTAGCAAAAGGGGGGGAGTCCCAATATGTCACATGATGGCACCAATTACATCAGAGTTTGACACCCCTGATGTACAGTCTGGAGAACAGAAGGAAATGGGAGGACATGACTGAAACTTTTAAATATATTAAATGTGTGCATAAGTTTCTAGAAGGTAGTAGTTTCAATATTAAGCATATATCAAGAACACAGGGGCATAATCTCAATCTGACAAGGAGGAGGAGGTTCAAAAGTAACGTTATAAAGTATTACTTCACAGAAAGAATAGTGGAAGCTAGGAACCAACTTCAAGCAGAGGTGGTGGGTCAATCATCAGTATCTTAGGATAAATTCATGTTTATCATTCATTCTTCTGAGCTTGAGGGTTGGTTTCTAAATGTTTCATTACCAGGCTAGGTAATATCTTCAGCGGAATTTAGGGGATGTCAGTGAGTGTTCTTCTGTTTATAAGGGGTTCAGGTGGTCAGTAGGTCTTGGAATGGTGAGGTCATATCACAAGACCATGAACTGATGGGACCTTCACTTGATGTGACCTTACCATCCCATGACCTACTGTCCACACAAAGCCCTTGTAGAAGAACACTGAAGTCTGAAGAGATAAGCAAAAAATGATAGATTAGACAATTCACACTGCCCACCTCCTAACTAAGCAAATGCAAGAGTAGTATATTTTATTTTATTCATAAGAACATGATCAATGTTCTTTCTTGTTGTAAAAGAAACTATGCAAACAAACATCCCTTCTTCGTACTGAATTAGAACTGGTAGAAAAAAAATAGACTCAATAAAAGTCTCTGCATGATACCCGGACAAGGTTTATTTTCACTTTATGAGCTTTCCCCAAAGGTCTGAGTCCGCATCTGCCTTCCTCAATGGTGTTCTGAATACAGCAACATATCTGCTCCGACTCCAGGGATTTAGTGAAATAGAAGCTTCCTAGAGACCTTCAGCTACACTTGTTTATTACCAAATGTGAAGGAGGCGGAGGAGATACCTGAGCTTCAGCAGGTTCAGATATATTGCTGTCTATGGTGGAAGCCCATCATTCTCCAACCACAAATTAAGGTGCATATTACCCAAGTCAGAAGGTGTTGTTTATAGTATGCATGTCTCTATAGCATCCCTCACTTTTCTTGGCAGTATAAAACACTGTAATAATAAATCACCCATTATATGCTAAACATCCATATCCACTGCCCGACAAGGCCCCCATGTAGGGCAATGGTTGGTTTGGCCTTTTCAAAAGCTCATGGTGGTTGAGGAGGTATCTGGGAGCTCACAGAAGGGGCTGGAGAAGAGCCTTGCTTTGAATCCAGTCACATTCTTGGAAATGGATATAGGAAAAAAATGGGTCTTCAAAATGGAGAAAAATATCTCAGTTGATTTCCAAACTGAGTTTGCCCATAGCTACTTAAAAGTGAGGATAGTTCTAGAATCCGGGTTTAGAAGCAACTTAGTAGAAAAGGTCTTTTCCAAGGCAGTGTTACTCTTTTTGCAAGGGAATACAAACATATGCTCTCTCTTTTTTTTGCTGGCAGTTTCAAGAAAAGAGGGAGATAAATTCTTCCTGCTTTGTTAAAGTGGAGGTTCACTTATTAACCAATATCAAAATATGCTGGTAACTAGACAGTTACTGATCCCTCAAAGGTGGGATCAGTAATTGTCATTTGGCAAGGCAAGGGTAACCACACATTCATGTATACAAAATAGAAATTGTCAGTTCATCCAGAGCAAGATCAGACTACACACTATTTTTACTCTTTAGAAGATACTTCAAGTAAATTAAATGTTTTTTTAAATTATAGATTATCCAGCACAGTTATTCATGTGTCCAACATGTAAAATTACTTAAAACTATGAGCAAACTATGAGCACATGGACAAAGTTGCAATCTTGTGAGACTGTCATTAAATGCTTTGAGTCAGGGACTCTGTGTATTGTATTTAATATAAGATCTCATTTATTCAAAAGAACACAACTAATATATAAACAGAGATGATAAAATAAACTTTTGTAGATATGCATTGGATGTATCATGGAAAAGGCAGCTATAAAGAACCAGCACACAGATCTTTGTATGATGTTTTCTACAGTTTCTTCCATATAAGTGTAAATCTGAATTAAAACAGATTCTTCCAAGAACTGTGTGATTTATAGATTTTTCCTTTTAAGAGTCTAAAAAGAGATCAGTGGGCATGGCTACAGGGCAATTTCCTGCAATCTTGGCTAAGTGCTTTACCTGAAGTGCAAAAAGCTGGGAGAAAAAATAGGGTGTAGCACAGAAATGCACTCCTTATTCCATAAATTGCTATTGTCATGAGTGGCTTGTTATTCTGAGACTGCTGTAAAGAAAAATGGTACTAGTAAACCAACATAGATTGGTTTACTTACATACAGTACATGCTTTATAAGAGATTCAATATCACAGAATGAAAAATTGATGGTGGCCAACATTGGAACAGCTAATGTTCATGCTATTTCTGAGTAAGAGGAATGTTCGTTCTGTTTCTATTTTACAGACATGACCACTGAGTCACAAAAAATAGAAATTATAGGAGGCATTGACTATCAAATCCCTCTCTCCAAATTAAAAACAGTAATACCTGCAATCACACCTGATGCTTAAACAAGACTCGATTACAAAGAACTGGGAGGGGAAATCTATCCACTTAAAAATCAATTCCTTCTAACCATAGGGGTGATTTTGTGGTGGAAATGGCATTCAGCTGGTGTTTAAAGATCATAAAGAACAAAGTGGGTGTTTCATCCACTAAACATTCAGAAAGGAGTCCTGACCATAATCTGCGCCTAAAGGACCTCACTCTGCATGCCAACTATGGTAGAAGAAACCCACATGAATGTGCAAGAAAAGGGGGGAGGCGAGATCCAATTTTGGATCACCTTTATAAGACAAGTGATCAGAGAATCCAATAGGTGAGTTAAATCACTGTGTTTCTGTGGAAGATGTACAGCTAAAGCTGAAAGAGCTAAGGTGATGCCTAGTCCATCTTAATGGGGAAAGGATTGCACTACCAAACCCAACCTCGACCTGTTGAATGTTCCTTAAAAAGAAAAGAAAAAATCCACCTAAAGAGGTGAAGTGCATTTCCTGCATACCATTCCCACCCTCAAACGCCCCTCGCCGTTGTTCCTTCTTTAATGCCATCCTTACAAGAAGATGCCGAGCAGTCTCGCCCCAGCAGCGCGTTTTGGCCGCCGGCTGCGAGTGAACTCACTCTCTTTCTCTGCCTTTGTACCTTGGTTTTAACTCGCTCCGTCTCCCATTGTGGTCTGAGCGTTCGGATCAGCTGCAGAGCCCCCGGCAGGACGTTAGTCTCATCCACTGCAATGCTGACACGCCGGACGGCTGGGTGGCTGGAGAGGACGCGCGCGCTCTCCTCCTCCTCCTCCTCCTCCGCTCCCTCCATGCCCCATCGGCAGCTCAACCACCACGCGGCTGGGCTTCAGGTGCAAGGCAGAGTTAGGGAAACGGAAGAGCAGCCTTTCCCACCCAGCAACTCCACCCCCCTCAACAACGGGAGGCTGGCGAGGTAGCCCATGTGGAGGAGGTGGGAAGGGGCTGGGAGGGGAGGAGCCAGCCCCGAGAGGAATCCATGAGTCACTCCGCCGCCGCCGCCTCCTCCTCCTCCTCCTCCCACCGCACCCCCAGCAAGCATTTCTTATTGGAACATCCAGGCCGACCGGATTGTGATGTCAGAGGGCGGAATCGTTCGCCGCCAGATCACAGCGTCCCCTTCCTCCCCCCCACCCCCCAAGAAGCAGCCCTCCTCTTGGAGGGCAAGTGGCGGAACGCTAAGCCAGGCGCGGAGGAAGAGGAGGAGGAGGAGGATGCGGTCGCCGGCTGAGCATCTTCCCGCCAGGAAGCTGCTGTTCCCGGCGCTCTTGTTAGCGGACGCCACGGTTGGCGCTTCCAAGCAAAAGCGGCGCACGCCAAGCTCGGCTCCCGGGAATTTCTGGATCTAAATCGCCGGGGTGGGGAGGTGGGGGTCTGGGTGGGGGTGAGTGGGAGCGTTGGGGAAAGAGCTGCGAGATTAATTACTGACGAGGGAACAAGCGTCCACCACCCGGATCTGCGCTTTTAGTGCCGCGAGTCTTTTCAGCTTGTTTAAACGCCGCTTACGCACGTTGGCGTGTGTTGGCAGGGGGCTGCTCTGAGCCACAACCAAGCGCCTAGCTTGACACGCGAGTCCTGTGAGCGTGGTTAGGTTAGGGTTCAGGGAATTAGGAGAATTCAGGAAACTGAGTTCGGCGAATATTCATTTGAACCATGGATTGGAATATCAGGTGAGCAACTTTCAATTCTTAGGCGGCAGGCAGCTTCGTTGGTTTGTGACAGACAAGCAAGAATTCAACTGGGATTTCAATTGCGTGTAAGTAGGTGCATTGCAGGTGGAGATTATCAGACTAATTTTTAGCGATCATGCAATTAAAGGCAAAGTACTTTGCCACCAAGCTGGGTGAGAAGAATTCCCAGTCCTGATTCAAATAAATATTATGAAACGGTTAATGTGTCAAACCAAGATTCTTTTCACACCTGATCCTAACTCCAGCACAGCCGCCGCCTCCTCCTTCCCTCCCATACCTAAACTTGAAATTGTTCCTTTAACTGTGTCAGTGGTTAAAAATGTGACAAACATTCTGCCATGGATACAATCTGATACACTTCACTGACCATTTTGTTGGTGGAACAATTAGAATGGAAATAGCCTGGGTAACAGTTGCACACTTTTAGCTAATGCAAGCATGCCTCTCATCCCTTTCTCCCTGGACATTGTCTTCCACAATCATTCATAAGCCAGTAGTAAGTCTGATGGCTTCAAACCAGGGTGTCCCCCTGTGTTCAGCTTGGAGACCTGGAGCACCCTGGAAAAGTCATAAGTGGTGATCATGTGAGCCCAGGTCATTGCAAATTCTGTAAATATATGCCAGTTGCTAAACGTGGAATTTTAATCACATGACCATGTGGATGCTGAAACAGTCATAAGCGTGAGGATCAATCTTTTCAATACTATTGTAACTCGGTCATTAAACAAATGGTCATAAGTTAAGGACTACCTCTATTGCATTTGTTCTTTGTGAAGGGGAAAGGGACAGAAGTCCTGGATCCACAAAAACAATTCTGTCAAGCCCATTCCTCCTACACAAAAAAGAAAAATTACTAGTATTCCATGATTTCCTCCATAAGTTGTTGCAGAGAAGAGGGGACCAGAGATAAACCTTGTCAGTTTTGCTCTAGCTCTGTTGCTTTGAGTTACAATATAAGTGAAGACAATTGCAAGATTTATAGTCTAAAAACTCCAGATCAATTCTAGCTCTATTTTGAAGTAGAATTCCTTGGATGGTGTATATTTGTGGGACATAACAAATAAGAGTGGCTGCTGAACCATCTTTTCCGTTACAAGTCCTGTAGATAAAATGCCACCTAAGCTGAATTTGGGGAGACACAATAAGGCAAGATTTCTTGTCAGTGGGAAAGGAGTTGATTCATAGTTTTACAAAGCCTTATCAGTGGAAAACAGATCTCTCTCTCTCTCTCCCTCTCTCTCTCTCTCTCTCTCTCTCTCTCTCTCTCTCTCTTTCTCTCTCCTTCTCCCTCCCCCCCTCTCTTTTTGCAAAAGATAGAAATAATTTTAGCTGTTGAATGTAAACAATACATGGAATTACATAGATCAGGAAATCATTTTGGAGTGGTAAAAAGTACCCTAATGGTAGTGACCTATGATTAAAAGCTATGCCAACAGTAATGTAAGCAGCACATGGTCTTGTCATTGATAGTATTTTCAATTATATAAACTACACCTGAAACAGCTCAGCATTTTGAAAGCTCCCATTTTCAATGGATTGAAACCTAGTTGTTTTCAGAAGCAACAGAAGATGTGCTTAACATGTGTCTTTTGTTCTGTATCACTTGGAGGAGTAAGCACAAAAACTTCCCATGACTGAATCTATGACCATAGAAAACAGACACATTAAAAATGCCAACAAGTGACATATTAAAGAAACCTATTAAAGAGACTTATAAAAGACACCTTGGTCTAGATCAGGAGTTCCAAACTGGCAGCCCATGGACCGGATGAGTCAGGTGCAAGCCACGCCCACCCCTGCAAAGGGGAAAAGCATCACGAAACAGCAACATGACGCTGCGAGTTTGACACCCGTGGTCTAGACACAGTATTGAATTGGATGCCTTACTTACTCAGCAAATGGTTATTCAAGTTCACGTCTGGTTTAAAAATAAATCTAATAAGTGTAAAAGTTCTAAAGTGCCATAAGCAGTTTCAAAGCTGCCCATCATGTTAGTCTTCCTGACTATAATGAATTCTGTTATACATTTATTCAAATAACAATTATGCCAGAATGTGTCTGTGTATATTATCATATGCAGATCTCTATTCCTCCTCATTCTGTATTTTGGTTGTCCTTTTTATTTTGATGATCTATCAATAGACACCTTCATTAAAATCGTCCTCTCTGTCCAGCAAGTTAATTTTCCATATAATGGCGATCTTGTTTGTTTGTAGAGAAATATAATGTGTGAACATCACCTGCATTTGAAGTGGAAATGGCAAGAAGCCGGTTCTCTTCAAAAGTTTCTTGTGGAAACAAGATTCAGTTTATTGTAACCACTAAATCTTTAATAAGGAAAATGTTAACATATTCTCAAAAAATAAAATACTTTGAAATTAATTTCACTCAAAGTACAATACGTGATTTTCTACAGAGGAGGAAAAAAATCTCCTCCTCTTAAATATCCAGCTAACTAACTCAAACTCAATTAATTGAATAAGTATCATCAAGCTGCAGGGAGTGATATCCACCCTCCCTTTTTAAAGGGGAATGAGTCTAATTACTTTAATTAGAACTGCTATAATTGTCCTATTTTCTTTGTGGGCCTCAGTTTGCTTAATTGCTTTGTTGGGAATAGTGTGAATTGCTAATATCTCCTGGTTGCAGGTCACTAGTGGCTTCCTTCCAAAATCATCTTTATGTCATACACATTGGCAGTCAGGAAATTGTCATGTCACTTATTGGTAGAGGTGATAATGGATGCTTTAGGTGATAGAAATACTCAGCAGTGGTTTAATTTTGGAGAATTACATCTCACCATATTTGGGATTGTCAAATCTGGTTTGTTGGTTTGGATTCAAATCCATCTTAGTCAAAGCCAGCTAAACCTCTCTAACCTGAGATCATAATTATTTAAAGGAGGGGTATCAAACTCACATCATCACGTGGCATATCACGACTTTTCCCCCCTTCACTAAACTGGGTGTGGGTCTGGCCAGCATGTGACACTTCTGGCCTGCAGTGAGTTTGACAGCCCTGATTTAAAGGCAGATATGTGCATGGAAGTGGTAATTAGACACAGTGATTAATTATATAGAATAATATCTAAGATAGTCTTGGGTGGTAAGATGAACAAGAACTGTTGGAAAAGCTATCCTATACTTCCTTTACTAAATAATTGAACTTTTATTCTAGGGAATGAGAGAGGTAGCTTTTCCTCTTAGAAAGATGGAAAGTATTCCTTTAAATCTGGAAACTGATTTGTTTGATGATCATTGCAGAATATGTGGTCTGCCAAATAGTAGCCATTATTAATTTGAATGTTACTGACTTTCCACTATAATAGCAAAATGATGATTCCAGGAAGTCTTGTGAATGTGATTAAATCTATGCTGATCATGTGCTAAAGATTCTCCCAGGGATTTGGGGACATTTCTAGTTGTAAAAGGACAGTATAAGATTCCAAGACTGAAGTCCCCCATCATTAAGAGGAAAGTTAAATTTAAATATAAAAATACTGGAAACTTTTCCTCTGCAAGGCAAGGAAAGTTGAATGGGGTATATTCAGCATAAAACAAGAAACAAATGTAAAAGATCTTTACACAAGCCTTCTGTTTCTTTTTTATAGATAGATAATCTTTATTAAATTATTTTTTTAAATAAATTAAATTATTAAAATAAAGCTTGAGATAAAAAGGAGTGATGCATGTTGGAATATCATGTGACTGCATTTTATAGTTTATAGGAAGATAGTCTTTCATTTGAGGATATCCAAGTCCAAATTAAAGATAACCACAAAATTAAAGAGTGTGGAAATTGTTAGGAACTGTTCATAAATATATGTAAGTCCCTCTTTCTCTCTTTCTCTCTTTCTCTCTCTCTCCCTATCCATACATACATACATACGTGTGTGTGTGTGTGTGTGTGTGTGTGTGTGTGTGTGTGTGTGTGTATATATATATATA